GGCATATTTTCTCCGACATAGAAAAATCCTAGTAGGAGATCGAGCAACTTCAACACCAAGAAAATATTTGAGTGTGCCTAAGTCCTTCATATGAAAACATGCGTGCATATAAGCCTTGAACCGTCCAATAGTGGCGGGATTATTTCCAGCTACAAGAAGATCATCCACGTACACTAGAACGACAATATGTACCCCCGGTTCCCGTAGTACGAATAGGGAATAATCGGATAAAGATTGTGTGAATCCATACATCATGAGAGCATGGGACAATTTTGCAAACCAACACCTAGGAGCTTGCTTGAGTCCGTAAAATGACTTGCTAAGTTTGCACACCATCCGAGGGTGAGAAACATTAAAACCGAGTAGGGGATTCATAAAGACTTCTTCCTGTAAGTCCCCATGCAAAAAGGCATTGTGGACATCCATTTGATGCAGCTCCCAATTCTTTGCAGCAGCCTACCGCTAGCACCACTCGTACTTTTACCATCTTTGGTACCGGAGCAAAAGTCTTGGTGTAGTCAATTCCTTCCACTTGATGATTACCAAGTATAACCAAACGAGCCTTAAACCTTTCTACTCGTGCCATCGGATTTTCGTTTAATTTTGCGGACCCATTTGCATCCAAGTGGCCTTCTTCTTAGGCGGGAGAGGCATAACGGTCCGGGTTTGATTATTTTCAAGAGCACTCACTTCGGCTCGCATAGCCTCGCGCCACCTATGATCTTTCACCGCTTCACCGTAGGTCACGGGCTCCTATTCTTATTCAAGTGAGGCAAGAAAAACACGATGTCCCGGAGAAAAGTTATGACTATTCACATAGTGAGCAATAGGATAGGGCACACCCGAGGATGGAGAAGATGGGGGCAACGACTTAGATGGGCTCGGTATTTTAATTGTGTTGGTGACGTAGTCTCGAAGGCGAGAGGAAGCTTGTTTAGCTCGCATCCACATCCCATTTGTTCCTACTCAAGATTTACACTAGATTTTGTTTACGTGTCACTCGATGTGATCTCTAATGATGAAACATGCTCTCCTATTGCTTTAGTTATCATTTCAAGCACCCCTCGTCATCTATATTGGTCAACTTGTGACTAGCGCCTCCCCCTCGACACCAACACTAGTCACCTCGTGGCTATCTTCATCTATGCAGTCTAGGATGATGACAACTCCTTGGGTATTGCATGATGATCCCGCTTCATGTTTATTGGTGTCTAGCTTGTTAAAGGGATAGTTGGTTTCAACGAACACCACATCCCTTGACACAATGTACTCTTTTGTCTCTAAATCAAATAATTTCCATCCCTTTTTCCCATGAGGATACCCAACAAATATACATTTCCTACTCCTACTTGTAAATTTATCTCCTTTTCTCTTTTGGTTATGAGCAAAGCATAAGCATCCGAGTACTCTCAAGTGTTTAAGGGAAGGAGGTTGGCCATGCAACATCTCATAAGGTGTTTTTCCACCGAGGATATTAAAAGGTGTCCTATTTATCAAGTACCTCGCTACTAATACACATTCTCCCCAAAAATCAATAGAAAGGTTTGCTTGGAACCTCGTGGCTCGGGCAACATTCAAAATATGTCTATGTTTTCTTTCAACTCTTCCATTTTGCCGTGGCGTTCCAACACAAGAGGTTTGAAATAAAATACCTTGCTCCAAGAAATAATTTTTCATGCAAATAAACTCGGTCCCATTGTCACTTCTAACAATTTTAACTTGCTTATCAAATTGCCTTTTAACCAACGAAAAGAAATTCACAAGCATTCGGGGTACTTCTTTCTTATCACCAAGCAAGCAAATCCAAACACATCGAGAATAATCATCTACTATTGTCATGAAATAATAAGCACCACAAGAAGAAGGACTTTTATATGGACCCCATAAATCACAGTGGATCAATTTAAAAATGCCTTTGGAATAGTTTTTACTTACAGGAAATTTATCCCTTGATTGTTTTGCTCCGAAACAAATATCGCAGCTTTTGTTTGATAAATCCTTACACTTATTCTCACTAATATCGGGAATTGATTAGGTGATCTTGAAAGATGGATGTCCCAAACGCCCGTGCCACAACTCCACTTGATTTATTCCTTCCATTTTGCATACCTTCTCCTCACGTTTGCCACAAAAATAATAGAGCCCATCTTCACGTTTACCCGCACCAATCAGCATCCTCGAAGTGTGGTCCCGCATAACACACGGTTTATCGATGAATTGCACAATGCATTTTAATTCATCCAAGCAACTATGACACAAATATCAAGTTGCAGCTCAAATTGGGGACATAAAGAACATTTGTAAGCTTTAAACCCCCATCTAAGAACACCGTCCCTTCTTTGGCAGAGCATATGTTCGTGCACCATCCGGTAGGCCGATCGGACATGGTGTAATGTTATGTATCTCACTTAATTCTTTTAAATTCCCTGTCATGTGGTTCGACACTCCGGTGTCGATTATCCATGAGAATTTACTCGTCATCTTTTCACTAACATCCGATTTATTCAAGCATCTCCACCGGCCGTTGCCATTGATCCGTGGTTAGCCCCGCAAGCCCACTTTTGTCGGCATCGGTTATGGATGTGGAAACTCCTCCATTTATGACTACCCGTGCAGTATTGGAGCGAACACTTCCCGTTCTTCCTTTCCCCGTACCCATGCGTTGTTGCAGCCTTTCCCTTTGTACCGATTTTTCCTTCACTTTTCGCCCTATCTCCCCACCGATCCGGGTAGCCAATCAATTGGAAGCAATTTTTTACGCCATGTCCAGCTACGTTACAATGGGTACAGATTTGTGTTTTCTCTTTGGCTACCCCTCGTCCTCGGTTTTTGGCTTGTACCGTAAGACCCACTATTTCACTCCGTTCCTCCTTGGCTCTCGTAATGGTTCTCACTCGCTCTTCTTGCACCATGACAGAGTAAACACGGTTCAAAGAAGGCGATGGATCACTTGCTAATAGGTTGGAGCGTACCGTCCCATAGATAACATCGTCGAGACCCATAAGAAACCGGTGCACTTTCTCCTCTTCTCTTCGCCGTTCCAATCTAGATGTGATATCACGAGTGCAGCGTCCACACCCACAGATTGGTATTTGCTCATAGTTTGCCAGCTCATCCCATAAAGCTTTCAATTTTTCGTAACAAGCAACCATCATCGGACCCCTTGCTTGCAATCCGCCAACTTTGATTTTAGTCGATGAATCCTTGGGCCGTTGATGATTGAAAATCATTCTTTGATGTCCTCCCACGTGTCTTTTGCATTTTCCACATAAGATATGGTGGAAAGCAAGCCGAGTTCAATGGTATTTAGAATCCAAGACACTAACATGGACCGTACCGTCCACCGGCCTTCCATCTCGGGTGAGTCTTCCTTTGGCGCTCCGATGGTTCCATCTAGAAAACCCCATTTTCTTCGAGCACACAGAGACATTCTCATGGCATGTGCCCATTCTTCGTAGTTCTCCCCTCGAAGCCGTACTTGGGTAATCGATTCCCCGGGTTGTCGTTTGAGTTCGGATCATATGGAGATGGTGTTTTCTTCACCATCCTAAAGTCTTCTCGTTTAGGAGACTCTTCTTCACGAGCCTCCTCTTTACGAGCCTCTTCTTCACGAGCAACCATTCTATATGCCCTTACCACTCGTTCTCAATCGAACTTGGAGCCTTTGATACCATGAAAGAACAAGGTTTGCACAACAATACTTTGTTCTCCTCTCGTTCCGCGCCTCCCCGATAAACGCCAAGTATGTACATATATATAGCGAGGACTCCTATACCAGTAGGGACTCCTATTTTACAAACAAGAACTCCTAAAGATCTCAAACACAATCTATAGTTAATTCCATGCATATCACGTTCGATCCTCTCATGCATATCACGTACGATCTGTTCGGCTTGGTAATTGACTTCTTACGAATATCCGATTAGATATAGCAATGTGTTTCTTACGAAAATTAAAGGGAGCATTGTTTTCCATTTTATGGGAAAGTTGTATTTATTTTTATTTTTTTTCAATTATAAAATACTTATTAGGCTTTGGATAGACAACAAATTTCACATTGATGTAAGGTAGTGATATTTCTCTCCCTCTCTTTTATTATTATCATTATTATTAGTTTTTATTTAACTACAAGTGTATAGAAAATGATTTCAATTAGTCACTTAATTAAGATGATGCTAGCTGACATTTGTTGACGAACTCTCTCACTCGTTAGTTGCTAGCAAATGTCTTTGATTCCTTGGAAAGTTTATCATCAAATCTTAGATTACTCATGATCTTAGAGATCCTTTTTTGATTTATATATGAAAGTAGGATTTCAGTTTGATCTCTTTGAATCTTATTTAACAAATTGGCAATATCACATTAACTAATTAGCACCTTTTCCACACCCAATAATAATAATAATAACTTAATGCTAGTCATAAGCACATTCTATATTTCATTTAAAAAAAAAATTGTAAGTTAAAGTCATTTAAAATGTGAAAGGATTTCGGTCCCTTAAATCTCTTGAAACATCTCAGCGATGACTTTACTCTTTATATATGTTCTGCTAGAAGAAAAAAGAAAAAGGAAAAAGAAACAGAAAAGGAGATATTGGAGTACAAATTTCTTCACAACTGTTGATCCCTGTTCCCACCAAGTCAGTAAGATATATAAAAACCCTAGAGCGGAGATATTCTTCCTCCCATTCCTGTCCTCTTACTTCACTTTCTGCTATCTTTTTGCATCTTTCCGATCTTCATACTCGTCCTATGCTCCCTGTCTTGATCACTTGACAGTACCCTCATACATGCAACTAGTAAAACTTCTACCAACAAATTAGTTACTCTCATTTATTGCTTCATATATGCTTTAGAAAAATAACAAACAAAAAGACAGCATCAATCATAGCTTATAAAGTGGATCGAAGGTATGGGAAGAGGCCCCTTCCATCCGATGAACCGGAGGAGAAAGAGGAAGATCACAGCTTCCCTGTCTACTCAGCTCGATCTCAACAAGACATGGATGCAATGGTTTCAGCTCTAACTCAAGTAATTGGAAGCAGCCACAATAACTCAGCTCAAGTGCATGAAAGTCCATTGACCACAACACAATCCAGCACAGAAAATGACCAAACCCAACCGGCTGTTCAAGACCAAGGTATCATGCTCATAATAATTTTTATTGTTTATTTTCCTTTTGGGAATTCCCCAAAAATTTTCCTTTGCATCCACAATCTCAAGGTAACAATATCTATTGATCATGGTCATGACTTGTTAATTAAGACTTTGGCGTAGGATTGTTTGTATGATTGCATGTGTTTCAAATTTGGTTGTGTTTGCATCTCATCTTCAATTTTTTTTTTTACCCTATTTGATGAGTTTCCCTTTTTAAAACTATGTCAAATTTTTTTTTATTCATTAATCAAAAGGACTTGATACCTTTCTACAAAGCTATACAAACAAAAAATGAGATGAAATATATATACAAAATTCCAATTCCTAAAAATCACACAAAAACTGAGTTTTTGGCTAGTATTTCTATCTAAACATAACTTGAAGTTAATTATGTAGCATTTTTCAGTTACAATTATTGCATCCTATGATTATACTTCCAATTTTCCTGTCCACATGAGTGCAATCTTTATGTTTTCTTCCAAGAAAAACCATTTCAAAGTTTTGTACGTATAACTTATATTCCTCTGATATTTTACCTTTAATCTATCAATTCTAGGCCTTGCCATACAGTATGTACATAACTGTAGTTTGTTCTCGAACTCAGTCTTTTTAGCAAGCGAATATTGCCTTTATTTGATCCATATGTAACTAATTATTATGTTATTTCATGTACACTGACCTGAATAAACATTTTTTTGCTGGTGAAGGGAATGCGAGGAGAAGACATTATAGAGGAGTTAGGCAACGACCATGGGGAAAATGGGCTGCTGAGATTCGAGATCCCAAGAAGGCTGCTCGAGTGTGGCTAGGCACTTTCGACACGGCAGAGGCAGCTGCCCTTGCTTATGATGAAGCCGCTCTTAGGTTCAAAGGAAGCAAAGCCAAGCTCAACTTTCCTGAAAGGGTTCAGGCTGGCAGGACTGAATTAGGTTTCTTTACTAGTAGCCAAGATTTGCGTACGGTGACTGAACATGTCCCTTATCGCGTTATGGCTCCTCTAGCTCGTCCCCAACGATCACAAGATGCCTATAATCCAAACCAATTTCAATATCCACAATTTCTTGGAACTACAGCAGGCTATGGCGTGAACTATGCCATGCCAGCCATTCCACATGGTGGAGAAACATTTCTTTCACCGACTTCATCCAGTGCATCTTCTACTTCCCTGCCGATATCTTCTCAAGAACAGCAACATCAACAACAGCAGCAGCAGCAACAAGAGGAACAATTAAGATTTTCAATGCAGTTTGGAAGTTCTTACTCTCGTTATGATCCTTCTACATACAAATAGGAGGGGTCTTGATTATCAACTTATGAAAAAGAGCAAGTTAATTAGGAAAGATCAGTGAGAGTTGAATTCCTAATTAGTATGATGTTTGTGTTTCTTTTTTCTTGCTTACTTCCTTATGTTTCCTTTCCTTCTTTTCTTTTTGGCTTACTTGCTTTCTTGTCGAACCTATAATTTTCCACAATCCCAGTTTGGGTGATGTCAAGAAAATGTTCTGTTTAATAAATATTTTGCATCTTCGATCCCTGGATAAATTAGATCTCTCCTCCTATATTTGCTTACAAGTTCTATATATATATATATACACACACACATTATAATAACATGAAACTATTGATATATATGATTGATCACTTAAGAGAGCTGGATGGAAATTATGTAAATATTGTGAATAAAAAACCTCATGGAAGGTGCAACAAGCTCGAGAGACAGATCGAGTTAACATAATTTCCTGCTGATGTATTCAATCGAGCCTTCATATTGTGAAGCCAAGAAAAGATATATATATATATATATATATATATATATGACGAATGAAGTAACTTCCGCTCAGCCAGTATAACGGTGGCATGCAGCTGGACGTGATCACTGTTCTATCTGTTTCCTTCTTTCTTCGTTCTTCTCTCTTGCTTGAACTCCAACAATATATATATTTAAGGCCAATATTTGCAGAGGAAAATCTCAGACATACCTCAACAATTGTGCATTTTACGATCTCCAAACCTGTTCGAAATCTAATTAAGACACATGGGAAACCGACAAGGAGAACATCAAGTATTCGACTCTTTTATGTCAGCTCCCGACCGAGTCTGCATATATGGCGGCTTCTGATCTCTTTCCATTCCATAGGTCCGCCGTTGATCCTGTTTCATTTTATATATAGTAGCATTATTTTGGTATATATATATTCTGGATCATATAGTACATGGTAAGAGATTTGATACTTCGTAGCTTGGGAGAGTTATCTGAATATATAAACTATATGTCACATAAAATGTTGCGTATACTACATATAATTAACATGAAGAGGCATGAAGAAGCATCCACAGGTTTCAGAGATCAAGTCATTGGTGTGAAAATCAGGAATTGTTGTTCGTCACGAAATTCGGCTGGAGTTGACAAATTTTGAAATTCAAAGCTGAAGATATGGGAAAAGGACAAGAGGAGTGGGCTGCCATACGTGTTTTTTGCATTACGCGTTGTTTTGTAAGGCAGCCCTTTGCTTCATCTCTCTCATGACTCATCCATCGTAGAACTTTTTAGTTTGTTGAAAAAAATAAATAAATATTTTCTTTAACTGTATTCTGGTTTTGACTGTTGCAGCTACTTGTTAGGTGATGGGATAAGATATAGATTGCAATGCTTTGTTTGTTAATTAATATAAATAGTTTTTTTTATAGATATTATGGGTTTTAGTATTGACATTCATTGCTGTAGTAAAAAACTTTGAGTCAATTTTCATTAGTATATACGAATTAATTAATTATAAATTATTGAGAAACCTTTTTTCAGACCATAAAAAAATAATAATAAGAAAGTAATGTTTGTTAACTTAGTTTCACATAGTGATGTTTTACGGAAATTCACATGTTAATTACAAGATGATATATAGTCCGATAGTAAGCATTGATTTGTAAATCGGGTTTAGAGTTTAATTTTTTTGTCTAATACTTTTAAGAATTTATTTTCAGAATATGCAAAGTCGTGTGCTTGGAGAGTACTAATTAGCCACCCTCGGAGAGAAATTAGGCTTGAGGTATGCAAAAACTTATTTGAGAACACCCTTACTACTAAAAAAGAAGAAGACATCCACATATTAAAAATGAACAAGGGTGGTTCATATGATAAAATAGTTGAGTGAACTTAATTAATACTAATTAGAAACACATCAAACGGCCCCATATCTATATTGGCTATGTATCATATAAAATTTTGTCTGAATACGACCTGATATAAGAAAATAATAAATTTGACAACGGATATGTTGAAAATTGGAATATATACAATATCAAGATACCTAAGTCCTTTCTTTTTTAACAAATAAATGGAACGAATAAATTTAATTTTTATGAGTTGGAAACTTCAACGTTTACCTAAATATAACATACTTTAAAAAATATAGATAAAATGATGTCTGTTTTTCCCCCTTATAACTTCATACATCTTTTTAATAGATAAATAATTGAATCTGTCTTTATATAATAGCTTGAGTTTTTAATCTGTTTTTACACTTTTAATTACATATATTATGTTCCCGAATAATATTTAAGTCATTAATCTATACTTCTAATTAATTTTTTCGACCATGAGTAAATTTTTTTACCAATATACTCCTTATTGAAATGGAAAAAAAAACCCACTTAAAGGACATGGTTTGCATTTTCTCGTTTTTGAAGTCTTTAGGTATTTTTTTTGTTTTGCATTTCGAGTATAGGGCATTTCAATCAAATATTTTGGTCATGATTGGAAATATTGATCGAAAAGATAGATTGAAAATTTTAAATATTATTTAAGAATATAATAGATGCAATTAAAAATATAAAGGCAAACACTATAAAAATAATAATAATTTAGCGATGGATATCGGTGACGGATTAAAATCTATATCTAAATAGCAACAGATTAGCGAACTATTTTTGAAGGTGGGTGTTAGCGATATACTATCGATTGTTGTGCGACGAACAACAACGGACATGGTCCGTCATTAAATAAGATGACAAAATATTTATAGTTTTTTAAGTGATAGAATTCCAAGGACAATTAGCAACAAATATTCCAATTCATCACTATTTTTGGGTTTTCATTTTGGGTCCGGTTAGCGAGGGAATATTTCGTTGCTAATCCCTCGATGTTGTCACCAAGCGACAATGCATTTTTTTCGTTGCTAATTTTACCAATAATAGTGATGGATCATATCAATCGCTATTTTTTTTAATAAAAAAGGCGATTATTTGAAATTCAAAATCAATGACGGATACTTATGTATGTCGTTAATCGGTAATGGTTTAGTGACGGAGTCACGTCTATCGCTAAAATTAAATTCTTAAATTGGCGTAATCCCTTTTCTTCCCTATTTTTTCTTCATTCTCCCTCTCCTCATCTTAGTGCAACTATCTCCCGACCTCACCAAGCACTTGTAACACCCCCAATACACCTCACAAATACCACTCCTCCACTTTCCATCAATCTCCAGATCACTCTAACCATCTTCTTTCCTAAACATAGCCACAATTTCCTCTCTCTCTATTTGGTATGCTCTGCTTTCTCTCTCTCTCTCTCTCTGAAAGAGAAGCCTAATTATGTATTTTTCTTTCTCTTAATTCATATTTTCTATTTAATTTGTGTGAGTTTTGTGTATTATTCTTGATTTTACTTTTTTTTAGGTATTTAAAATTTTATCCATTTTTATATATGTAATTAATTATTAGTAAATATGTTAACAAACTTAATTTATATTATTTGAAATTTAATTGAGTATATTTTTAATTTATTAAAATTGTTTTAAATTAATAAGGTTTGGGTGTTAATAAATTAGGATACAATTTTGAATATGTGTATAATTTATTAAAAATAAAGATGGAGTCATTTGAGATAATCGGATATTATGCTAATTTTAAAATAACTCTTTAATTTTAAAATTAAAATTTTATTTTAAACTTGGCATAATATATGATTATTTAAACTTTAGATGTAAAAATTGATAAATTAATTTTTTATCGGATTTTTTTGATATAGATAAATAATTAATTGTTGTACGAAATGTGATATTAATTATTTATATACAAAATTATTGTAGTTAGTTAGTAGCATTGTCGCAGATCACTCCAACCACTCCAATAATTTTCTAGCCACTCCTATTTGCAAGGTAAGTTATCGAAACTTCAATTTATAATTTATATCGTAAACCAATTTTTAGTTAGTTCGACAATTGATGTTGCATTTATTTTACTAATGATTATTGAAGTGTGCCGAGATACGTCACGAGTGTATCGAATCCGAGGGGTTGGAGACCTTCGAGAATTGAGGATAAATAAGGTTGATGTTCTATAATGGACATGGGAGGATGAGTTTGAGATTTAATTTAATGGATTATTCGAGGTAAGTGTCGATCTCAATGTGCACAAATTAATTTATTTCATTGCTTAAAAGTGACTTTTGGTTGATGCTTGTGTGACAATGATTAATTGAAAACATTTACATGTATTATGTTATGTTTTTTGGATATATAGTTTTTTGTATAACTAGAGTCTCTTGAAGTTGGAAAATGTCCAATTTATAGGAGAGACTCGATCAAAATTTTGTTAGATTTTTAGCATAATTGATAATGAAGTAATTTTATGTTGGCTCGGATATGCGAAGGAAAATGTGAGATTCGATTGTACATGGATGGACTTTGGGTCAACCGATGGGATTTTAAATAAGAGTTTTGTGAATGAGGTTGAGGAATTTACTTGTATTGGTTGTTAGTTATCTTGAATGTATAGATAGAAGAAAGATAATATATCATTGTAATCATCATAAGTGTTAAAACCATGGATTTGAAAAGGTTCACACGGTTAAATACCATTTAGTAAAAAACAATTTTACATTTGGCTATTATGATTGGATTTATCACGGGAAAATTATGATGGGAAGATATTTAGTTTCAAATAATTATGGTGAAGGCGGATAGATTTTTGTTGAACTCCGTAATCCATATCAAATAATTATGATGGATGCAATCGGTCTATCATTTATTTTGTCTAACATCGATGAGTCGTCAAATCTCGATGCATAGAATTTTTATGATATGTTGAATACATCGAATAAAGAGATTTGGCTTGGATGTGAAAATACTCATAGTTGTCTATAATTGCCCAAATGTTAAACCTTAAAGCAGAATACCATTTTCTTGAAAGGTGTTACGATGAGTTATGTCGATTAATAAAGGAGGTGATGTATGTTGATAATCGTATGACGGAGGGCTTCTACAACACGAAAAAAATTAGTGAAAGGGATGAGTT